CCTGGTTGCCATCTTCCTCTCTTTTCATGTGAAGCAGAGTTGGGTGTTTCTTGCTGCAAATTTCACACGTGGCTTTCTTTTTGCAATCTTTTCCCATGTGCCCTTGAGTCAGACACGCAAAACAAAGACCTTTCCCTTTGAGGAACTCGATTCTTTCTTTGTTCGGCAGACCTCTGATTTTGTTGCATGCAATCAGAGCGTGCCCCTTGTTGCAGTACAGACATGGCTCTTGAAATGCATTGCTTGTCTGCTTAGTCTTTCTTGATTCAGAAGCATCGGCTGGCGTTACACTTGTAGCAAGGCCAGTGGTTCTTTTCAGTCGACCCATTGCAGGTTTAGCGCTGGACTTGCTCCTTTCTTTGGCATCAGGGGGGTCTTTGACATCACCAAACAGTGGATCAGAAGCTATCTTAGCTTGTCTGTTGATGTACCCTACAAGATCTGCAAAGCCTGCTCTTCTTCCTTCTTTCTCTTGGATGTCGAAAGCTATGGCTCTCCATCTTTCATGAAGCCTGAAGGACAACTTGTGTACGACGATGCGAAGGTTGCTCGGGCTGTTCATCTCCTCTAGATACTCCAAGTCATTAACAACATTGTTGCACCCAGTGAGAAAGATAAAGAAGCTGTGAAGTGACTTAGCGTCTTCTGCTTTGATTTGAGGCCATTTGACAGCCTTGTCAACATTGGCCGCAGCTATTCTCTGTTCATTGCCATAGTGATGAGTCAAGAGCTTTCTTGCCTCCTGGTAGCCTTGCTGTGCGCTCATGTGTTGGCAACTTCTCACCAATTCTCTCGGCTCCCCTGTGGTGAATTGTTCTAAATAATACAGACGATCTCCATCATTGTCTGTCCGACTGTGAATGATGTGCTCGAACGCCCTCAGGAACGGCAGGAACTCAAGAGGATCGTCACCGAATTCAGGGACTTTCCGCTGAGGTAAGTTGGCTAGTCTTTGTTGTGTGACTAACATCTCAGTGATATCCTTCTGTTTCAATATTATTTCACCTAGTTCAACTTGCCTTGCACCAGGATGTGTGCCCGCAACATCTTCTTTCTTCACATGCACATAAGGCATGTGCCTAGCTGGAACATGAAATGCCCTATTATCTGGGATCACTTGAGGATAGCTGGTCGGGCTCGGTTTAACATCTGGACCATGAAATGGGATGGATGTAGCTGTATGCATTGTCTCTGGTCTCTGGTTCAGGAGAAATGTTGTAGTTGTTTCCTGAAGTTCCTGCTCTGGTAGATGTGTGTTTGCCTTTCATCACATCAGTAACCATTTTCTTGTGTCCCTTTGTCCCTAGAACTCCCACTGCACTATGTCTATCAGGAGGAGGAGGCTCCTGCTGACCTGCTTTGTAATCAGGAGAAGAACTCTGGTCTGCACCAGAAGGATCCAGACCACCTACAGATGAAAGAGGAACAGGAGGAACTCTGCACCAGTCTGGACCAGGAGGACCCAGAGTCTCCACAGATGAAAGAGGAACAGGAGGAACTCTGCACCAGTCTGGACCAGGAGGACCCAAAGTCTCCACAGATAAAAGAGGAACAAGAGGAACTCTGCACCAGTCTGGACCAGGAGGACCCAGAGCCTGCACAGATGAAAGAGGAACAGGAGGAACTCTGCACCAGTCTTGAAGGAGAGCTGCTTATACAGAATCAGCAGAGTGATACCTTTATAGCAACTTCTACTTCTAAGAAAAGGGACCACAGTGACACAGAACCAGACAGTTACCAGCTACTCTGTCAAAATGTTTTTGTAGCTGAGAGGTCAGATCAGGAAAGAAGTAAGGATGCAGATTTAGAACCAACTACAAATGCAAAGCTGAAGCCAATGAAGACACATCACAGAAACAACAGTCACAGTAACAATGTAGACAACACTCCCATGGCTGAGAGTCACTGTGAAACTGACACAGGGAAAAAGACTTTAACATGTGAGTTCTGTGGAACAGCCTTTAAAAATAGATACAGCTTGAAGAAACATTACAGCAGTCATACCGATGAGAAGCTGTTTGCTTGTAAGTCATGTGAGAAAAGTTTCAGCTATAGAGCTCAGCTAAAAGTCCACATGAGAACTCACACAGGTGAGAAGCCGTACGTTTGTACCACATGTGGAAAAAGATTTTCAAACAAATCAACACATAAAAGGCACATAGCAAACCATAAAGAGGAAAAGCCATATTCTTGTGGAACATGTGGGAAAAGTTTTTGTCGTCATGATAACTTGGTGTTTCACATGAGAACTCATACAGATGAGAAACCGTTCCCATGTAGCAATTGTGGGAGACGATTTAACTTCAAATCCTATTTGAAAGTCCACATGAGAACNCTGCAGCCACCTGGTAGCATCTACCGGAGCAGCATGTGAGGCGTTCAGGGACCATCGGTACAATGTTGCATCTACTCATACGAATGTTCAGCCATTGTTTAGTGTGTGCCCAGTTAATGAGTGACATGAGAAGTGGACTGGTGACAAAATAAATATGTTTTCAGATTAAAATATTTTACAGATATCAAGTCTTGTGTCACTGAAGATCAATGCAACATAACTAAGTTATGCAAAAACAGCTGTTCATCAGCATGTATGGTGCATTAGTAGCTGTGGCAACACTGAACCAACAAAATAAGGAGGGAGGACCAAATCATTAGCTGGTGTGACCAACGAACAAAGTGGGTACCATTGGAAAAGTTTTCACAGTTTGTTGTTTTTTACATCTAGACCACATTATACCAGGTACATACATGTAGTTGTAAACAAACATGTAGTGGCTAAATGTCTGTTCTTAAAGTCCTTATGCAAATAACCACTCAGTCAGACGGAAAGAATGAGTCTACTCGTGTCTAAGTTGAACGACGGTAGAAAACAGTGTGTTCGCCCCGTCTTTAATGAAGATCTCAACATATGACAAACACACAGCATTACGTTCAATAGATGCGCGAGCTCCCGCACGTCATTGCTCAGCGTCAGTTCCTATTGGCTGTTCATTCCAGAAAATTCCAAGCCTTAAACTAAATGCAGGTACTAAATATATCCAAAGAATAATAACTAAACATGAGCATAAGCGATCGAATAGAGAATGGCACCAACATTTCCGGCCCCTAATTGCTCATCATTGGGATGACAATTACACTAAACTAAATAATCTGAAGAGTCATTTTCTATACTAAAATCCCCGTTAAGTAATTGTACCAAGGTCTAAACTGACATAAACTAGCTTAACTCACACAATTTAGAAAACAATTAACTGAATAAAAATGTCTTTCATTGTCCATGGGATTCTTCCATCTCCAGCAAGAGACACAACTTGTCAATCGGTCTCTCAAGGGTGTTGGTCGTCGTTTTCACGAGGACCCGACGAACAAACCCTTGGGCGTCGGGGATGGTCTTCTCCACCTTTCCCGTCAACCAGGACCCTCTAGGAGCCCTTTCGTCCACGATGAGTACGATGTCCCCCTCTTTCACATTTCTCTTCTTTTCCAGCCACTTTTGCCGTTCTTGTAGGAGGGGCAAGTATTCTCTAGACCAACGCTTCCAAAAGATGTCGGAGATATACTGCACCTGCCTCCATCTTCGTTTGCAGTACAGGTCTTCTTNCCATAACTGCCCGAACCTGTCCACCTTCAAATCACTCCCCAAAACTCACCTCTACAAAAATGCTTTTAATGTGTGATTGTTTTTAAATGCACTCAATGCTTCTTGCTTTCTGCTGTTATTTTTTTGCAGGTTTTTTTTCATTTTTTTGTTTCTTGTTTTTATTCATTGTGCAGCGTCTTTAAGCGTTCGGAAAGGCACTTTATAAATAAAATGTATTATTAATATTTTTATTTTTATGAATAATAATAATAAGAAGAAGAAGAAGAAGAAGAAGAAAACTTACAACCACAGAAATCAAATCAATTCAATAACTATATGAGCAGCATATTGTTGAAATGATTGTAGCGAGCTGCCCGGAAGGATGACGCTAAATTTCCTCTTTTCTTGCACATTACACAAGTTGGCGCTTTTATTGTGACACAGGAACAACAACAACACATGTGAGCAGTGGCCGGAACACCTCACACAGACAACACATCTCACTCGCGGTACGAAAGCACAATAAATCAGAAACACTAACAATAATGTTAAACAACATGAACTACAATAAACACATTTATAACCCCATCACCCCAAACTCCCATGGTGCATTGCAGCACAACTGTTCAGTCGAAGCAATCCGGCTCTGGGATCGCTACAAGATGTATGATGCAATGGAAATGTTTAGTTTATTAAAATCTAAATGAAACTCAACACACTGAAAACTAGAAGGTAAAGTGATTTTGTTTTATTAAAATGTTATGCTGTGACGTTGCATTTTTTCTTAATTGTATAGTAAGTGTTGTTTATGTATCTTGTATTATATTGTACATGTATTGTGTACTTTTTCTTTTCTTTTCTTTTCTTCTTTTTTAAATTGTAGTTTTACTGCCTGTTTCGCATCATGGCCAGGGGACTACAGATGAAAACTAGCCTTCTGGCTAATTCTGGCTTTTTTAACCATGTGTAATCATGTGTTTTATGAAATTGCGCTGTCCCATTTTAAATAAACTAGACTAAAAAAAACAATTACACGTGTGCTTATTTGTTATGTATCAGTTTAGTTTGGGTTCCGTAGTCGTGCTGTTGTTTAGAATCTGTTCATAGGTTTCTTCGTTTATTTTTGGTGAATGTAGAATTACTATTTCTGCTACAAACTGTGTGATAAGAGAGAGATGAAAGGANTTTTCAACTTGAGCAAATTAGTGTAGAATGCACTTTCCACTGTTTTCCAACAAATGTTTGGTCGCTCACCTGTCAGAGGAGCTGCACTGCAGCCACCTGGTAGCATCTACCGGAGCAGCATGTGAGGCGTTCAGGGACCATTGGTACAATGTTGCATCTACTCATACGAATGTTCAGCAATTGTTTAGTGTGTGCCCAGTTAATGAGTGACATGAGAAGTGGAATGGTGACAAAATAAATATATTTTCAGGTTAAAACATTTTACAGATATCAAGTCTTGTATCACTGAAGATCAATGCAGCATAGCTAAGTTATGCAAAAACAGCTGTTCATCAGCATGTATGGTGCATTAATAGCTGTGGCAACGCTGAACCAACAAAATAAGGAGGGGGGACCAGATCATTAGCTGGTGTGACCAACGAACAAAGTTGGTACCATTGGAAAAGTTTTCACAGTTTGTTTGTTTTTTACATCTAGACCACATTATACCAGGTACATACATGTAGTTGTAAACAAACGTTTACATACATTTGTAAAGAACATGTATGTCATGGCAGTTTTGAGTTCCCTATGACTCCTGTAACTCTTAATTTTCTAATCAGCAACAAACTTGAGCTGAGCTTTAAGGAGCCATTCTGGAGGGAGGGCTTCTTTCCAACATGGCAGCCTCTCAGCCCATGCTGATGTAAAATACACTTGACTGTGGACACTGACACATGTGTTCCAGCAGCTTCTTCTTCATTGGAGACCTGCGTTTTGATCTCAGCAGCAGGTGATTTTTTTCCTGATGGTGACACAACTGTGCCATGCGCTTCATAATTACAAAAAATGTTTGCACAGAGGACTTTGGGTTCTATAGCTGCTTTGAAATGGCACAAAGTGACTTTCTTGACTTCTTCAAGTCAATGAATTGCTTTTTTAGGTCTGTGATTTAAAATTGACTTTCACCTGAAAAGAGGATTTTGGACCACTGAGCAACAGTCTAATTCTTTTTGTCCTCCACCCAGGTAAGACGCTTCTGACATTGTCTCTGGTTCAGGAGAAATGTTGTAGTTGTTTCCTGAAGTTTTCTTGTGTCCCATTGTCCCCAGAACTCCCACTGCACTATGTGTATCAGGAGGAGGAGGCTCCTGCTGACCTGCTTCGTAATCAGGAGAAGAACTCTGGTCTGCACCAGAAGGATCCAGACCATCTACAGATTAAAGAGGAACAGGAGGAAATCTACACCCGTCTGGACCAGGAGGACCCAGAGCCTCCACAGATTAAAGAGGAACAAGAGGAACTCTGCACTAGTCTGGACCAGGAGGACCCAGAGCCTGCACAGATGAAAGAGGAACAGGAGGGACTCTGCACAAGTCTTGAAGGAGAGCTGCTTATACAGAATCAGCAGAGTGATACCTTTGTAGCAACTTCTACTTCTAAGGAAAGGGACCACAGTGACACAGAACCAGACAGTTACCAGCTACTCTGTCAAAATGTTTTTGTAGCTGAGAGGTCAGATCAGGAAAGAAGTAAGGATGCAGATTTAGAACCAACTACAAATGCAGAGCTGAAGCAAACAAAAACACATCACAGAAACAACAGTCACAGTAACAATGTAGACAACACTCCCATGGCTGAGAGTCACTGTGAAACTGACACAGGGAAAAATACTTTAACATGTGAGGTCTGTGGAAAAGCCTTTAAAAATAGGTACAGCTTGAAGAAACATTACAGCAGTCATACAGATGAGAAGCTGTTTGCTTGTAAGTCATGTGAGAAAAGTTTCAGCTATAGAGCTCAGCTAAAAGTCCACATGAGAACTCACACAGGTGAGAAGCCGTACATTTGTAACACATGCGGAAAAAGATTTTCAAACAAATCAACACATAAAAGGCACATAGCAAACCACAAAGAGGAAAAGCCATATTCTTGTGGAACATGTGGGAAAAGTTTTTGTCGTCATGATAACTTGGTGTTTCACATGAGAACTCACACAGATGAGAAACCGTTCCCATGTAGCAATTGTGGGAGACGATTTAACTTCAAATCCTATTTGAAAGTCCACATGAGAACTCACACAGGTGAGATGCCTTACCTCTGTAACACCTGTGGAAAAAGATTTATTGCCTTATCACGACTTAAAAAACATATGACAATTCACACAGGTGTGAAGCCGCATTCGTGTACAACATGTGGGAAAAGTTTCTCTCGTCATGACAGCTTGGTGCTTCACATGAGAACTCACACAGATGAAAAGCCATATGTTTGTAACACATGTGGGAAAAGATTTTCTAACACATCAACACATAAAAGGCACACCGCAATCCACAAAGAGGAAAAGCCATATTCTTGTGGAACATGTGGGAAAAGTTTCTGTCGTCAGGATTACTTAGTGTTTCACATGAGAACTCATACAGGTGAGAAGCCGTACTCTTGTAAAACCTGTGGGAAAAGTTTCAGTCATGGAGGTCATTTGAAAGTCCACATGAGAACTCACACAGGTGAGAAGCCATACTCTTGTAAAAGCTGTGGGAAAAGTTTCAGTTATGGAGGTCATTTGAAAGTCCACATGAGAACTCACACAGGTGAGAAGCCGTACTCTTGTGAAACCTGTGGGAAAAGTTTCAATAAAGAAAGTAATTTGAAAGTCCACATGAGAATTCACACAGGTGAGAAGTCGTCATCCTGAAACATCTGTGGAAAAAATAATTTAAACAGGTTGAAAGTTTTACAGCAGCTTCAGACTGTACTTCAACAATAATTGTGAGGAAATATGTCAGCAGTCTGTGATGATCAGACCAGATGGAGTCTGGACTGTGGTGGTGGTGGAGC